AGTCATTCATTCAGTGATTCAGTCATTCATTCAGTCTGTCTGTCAGTGATTCATTCATTCAGTCTGTCTGTCAGTGATTCATTCATTCAATCTGTCTGTCAGTCAGTCAGTGATTCAGTCATTCATTCAGTCTGTCAGTGATTCATTCATTCAGTCTTTCTGTCAGTGATTCATTCATTCATTCATTCAATCTGTCTGTCAGTCAGTCGGTGATTCATTCATTCATTCATTCAGTCAGTCAGTGATTCAGTCATTCATTCAGTCAGTCTGTCTGTCAGTCAGTCAGTGATTCAGTCATTCTGTCTGAGGAGAACAGTTGTCAGTTTCCACTTTAATTAGCAGGCGAGGGAACTGGGTGACCCGGTCAGACTGGAACAGTTGCATACAAACGCTCCCATGAGACTGACACTCGGTTTCTTGTTGCTCCACAAAGAGTGTGGGTGGAAGCTACTACCTGTAGAGCAGGTGAGTCTTTATTTAATACAGTATCTGTAACTGCTGACCTTTTACTCATGTTCATTTCTTTGTTCAGATCATCAAAGTTCTGTTGCATGTTGAGCAGCAGCTTCTTTGGCATCCTTCATCATTTCTTCAGACATTTTCCAGTTTGGATTATTTCTTTACAGCCTTTTGATCGATGGGACTGAGAACGATTGTGGAACTGGTCCCTGAAGCAAACTGATCTCAAGAGAATCCAAACTGGTGACTAGTGAGGGACCATGTGTGAGTCAGAGTCCAGATTGGGCCTAGCAGTCCTGACCAGTTGGTAAGAGGCTTTTTTTCATTTTTGTACTGGTATACTGTGCTTAGAAACCAAAGTACACCGGTTAGTACAATGTAATTATCAATTTATTTTGATTATTAATCATAGTGAACATTTCAAAATTTCTCGGATGCTTATATTTGAATAAATGTACAACAAACTTTGTACAATATTGGTTTTGTATTAAAAACATGTTATAGAATTTATAAAAGTGTATCAAGGCAAAACTTGTTCAAGTAGTAGGTACAGAAGTTTTAATTATACAAAGAACAGGTTGAACCAACTCAATTAAATTCAATTCAATTCAAAAATACTTTATTAATCCCAAAGGGAAATTATTTGTTGTTGTAACTCGTTATCCTCATTTCATTAAGAGATGTTATAGATACTGATGCTGTAGACAGGAAGGATCTCTTGTAAAGGTCCATCCCACAGTGGATCCTAAGAAACTGGCTGCAGATGCTGTCTGATCCATCCACCCAGACTCGGCTGGCCTCTCGGTTCCCCCCGGGCTGTAGGACCGCCCGAACGCCAGACAGAGCTCCTCCCAGAGCGATGGCCACTCCTCCCAGCAGTCTGCCGAGTTCCTCGTCGCTGCGGACAGCCAGCTAGGTGCCGAGGGACGATCCTGTCCTTCCGCTGTCACGAGTCGTGTTTCCTGCTAGTTCCAGGATCTCAGTGGTCAGACACTCGAGCACAGCTGGCAGGTAGATGAGAATGCATCCACAGAACATCCTTTTCAACTCATTTGAGATTTTGGGCTGTAGTTGAGATATTATTTGAGCTTTTGAGATGTTAATCAGCTGCTGTTGGTTGTAGAAAACTGCCTTGTTGCCATGGTTACGCATCATAACAAATGTCCAAAACTAAAAAAGTTTCAGTAAAAATCCTTCCAGCTGCACAGCATCTGATACCAGAGGAAACAATCATCCGAAAAATGTGATTTACATCCAGAAAAAGAGGAATTAAAGTTTCTAAAACCAAAATCTCATAATGAATGTAACAGAGCTGCTCCAACATGCAGCCACCTTCAGCGGCGCAATTCTAGAACAATAAAATCTATAATGGTCTATAAAATGTTCCAAATGTGTTGACAATGACACATGCCCACATGTCACAAATCACTGGGCGTTTTTAACTGGGTACACTGTAATTCTCAAGATTTTCTAACAGAGCATACCCGCATATCACAGACGGCTTATGACTACATAGACTATGTAACCAAAGGGGGGACAGACGGAACTATGGATACTGCCCCTGCAGCCTGCGCCACCCTGAAGACGAGCTTCCTACTCATTGCCCCCAAGGCCGGATTAACCATATGTGCAACTGCCCAGGGGCCCATAATCTGTAAGGGGCCCAGGGCAGTGAGGGCACAAGCCAAACATCTGGTCATCTCCTGCTTTACTTGGAGCTCTGCGCTGCAGAGACACTGCTGCGCTTCCGCTGCATTTGGGCCGCTCCGCCTCATCCCAGCAGCTGCTGCTCCGTTTTTTCTTTTCCAATCGGATCCTCAACCTGTCAATCAACTCAGAAGACGTGTCAGTAACTGACCAATCGACAACCTCAATTTGTCCCGAAGGTAAACGCCCCTGACAAGCTCATCAGTTTTTTTTTTGAGAAACATTGTTTTAATTAAAACAATAAGTTTGTATCTGTTGTGAGATGATTCTAGCAGTTTTACAGATTTTTAATCTACTTAATGAAGAATAGTATGACTTCAAAATTGTTCATAAAACAGGAAGGAGGGATTATTATCCCTCCTCTTACTACAGTGAATGTGGTACTATAAGTATGAGTATATTTATGGCATCAGAGAAAGCTGAGCTTCAGTTATCCACATAAAGTAAAATGACATCAGCATGAAAAGAAGGAAAGTTGAGTTTGAGATTAATTCAGTTTCTGATGTGAGGGATCCATCTTCTGGTTTACAAAAGACACAAATCAACATCAAATTTAAATCTTCTTTGCAGAAACATGGCTACAGGATATATCTTATTTATTTAAAATGATTCTCCTTCACTTTAGGAGATTTAGGCCATTTGACACATTTAGAATGAGCAGAAGTCATACTGGTTTTATGATTTATACTGGGAGGTTTCTTGAAGGAATCTTTGTTATAATCAATAAATCCTTTGTTGCAAACAATCATTGATCATCTTGTTACATTTGAAGTCAACTAAATTACAGTCATTTAATTTTAATGTGGGCATCAAATCATCACCTTTGAATGTATAATATTTTTAATTCATTGAATCAGCTGTTGGTCAGGTTACTTCTTGTTGTGCCATTAGCTCTAAAATAGTTACTGAATCAAGTGTTTACTTCCATCCATCCGGGGGGGTACAGCCTAAGTGGGGAGGCCCAGACTTCCCTCTCACTTGGACCAGCTCCTCCAGGGGAATCCTGAGGAGTTCCAAGTGTTTACTTGTGGAGGTAAAACTAGATGTTAAACAACCGTTAAAATACACCAGGATGCAGGAAATGACATCTACTTTATTCAACATTTCTGGGGGAGGACCCAGACCCCCCATCAGTGTGTCCCCACACACACACACACACACACACACACACATTATAAATGCTCTGACACCAGTGGCCCACGTTACTAAACAAGTACACATGTGTCATGTGGTGTTCAAAGTGTGTTCAACTTAATTCAGTCTTGATGATTCGTGTCAATGAGCATTTGGAGTTTGATATATGAAAATACACTTGATAGTTAGAATTTTAAGTATATTTACTGTATATTCTGGTCATTTATTCTGTATTTTGCCAGATTATGGTGATTCTGGGGTCGTGATGATGGGGCCCTTGAAGATTGTTGCCCAGGGTACAGTGAAGTGTTAATGTGGCCCTGGTTGCTCCATCTTCTTCAAGCGCTGGCCTCAGATCTTCCAGGATGTGATGGAGAACTTGGCATGCAGCACGCTCACTGGCATCCTGGACGAGCACTTCTTTCCCCCGGTCCCCAGAAGGTGACGAAGAGACTTGTCCTACAGCGCCGTGCTGTCGGCCTACGTGCCGGCTGGCCACATGGCTCTGCACTGTAACGAGAGAAGCATGGTGGCAGTCCTGCCTCAGCTCAGGGAGTGTGTGGGCGTCTGCGTGGACAGGGTCATCTGTCCTGAAACATCGAGGAGGATGGGTAAGTTTAGGTTTCTGCTACGGCAGGACTGAGTAAAGGCCCCAAGTTGTTTAGAGAAATGCACAGACTGGAAGGATGTCTCTCAGCTACTGCCACCAGAACTAGCTCGAGATGTGGAAAACAGAATTCTGTTTTTGTGTTTGCTGAAATTAATTCATGGGCTCGACTTGAAATGTTAGTGACTTGTTCAACTACAGGGATCTCCACCTAGATCATAAGAAAATTGGAGGCAGGCTCAGTTTGTATCCATCCATCTTTACCCATAACTTTTCGGGTCGCAGGGGTCACCGGTGCTCATATCTAGCAATCACTGTGCAAGAGGCAAGGGACATCCTGGACAGGTCTCCAGTCCATCACAGGGACATCCTGGACAGGTCTCCAGTCCATCACAGGGACATCCTGGACAGGTCTCCAGTCCAGAGACAGAAACACTCTCACCTGGTGACAATTTACCCAGTCAGTCTAACGCATGTTTTTGGTCTGTGGGAGGAAACTGGCGTGCCTGGAGAACCCCCACGCAGCGAACTACCAACTCCTCCCAGAAAGGCCCCCGTCAGGATTTGAACTGGTGACTCGAGTTGGCTCTACCAAATGTACCGTTCAGTTCTTTAAACCAGACACCCCAGCATCATATTTTTGATCCACTAAACGCAGACGGTTGCTCTGGTGAGAGCCAATAATCAATAAAGTTTGATCACATACTGTGCAGGACTAATACAAAACTTTGTTACATGGCAGGTCTGGTCAGTTGTTTCTTTACTGGACTGGAGCAGGACAGAAACGGTCCAGTCTGGTTACTGGAAGGTCTCGTGCTGTGGAGAACAGCGCCCCCTGCTGGCTACAGGTGCAAGCAGCACCATGAAGGAAACAAAAACAGCTGCACGTCAGAACCACTTTATGTGGAGCAACATGTCGGTGTAGAATAAAAGCAGACAAAGTGATGCTTTACAACTTTATTCAACATTGAAACCTACATAAGTTAACGCCTCAACGAGAAAAGGTTCCGTGTGAACGGAAACGTTTAGGCCAGCTCCTCCTCGCCCTCCTCTTCAAACTCTCCCTCCTCCTCAGCGGTGGCCTCCTGGTACTGCTGGTACTCGGACACCAGGTCGTTCATGTTGCTCTCGGCCTCCGTGAACTCCATCTCATCCATACCCTCTCCGGTGTACCAGTGGAGGAAAGCCTTGCGCCTGAACATGGCTGTGAACTGCTCAGAGATGCGCTTGAACAGCTCCTGAATGGCCGTGCTGTTGCCAATGAAGGTGGCGGCCATCTTGAGGCCTCGGGGAGGAATGTCACAGACTGCCGTCTTCACGTTGTTTGGGATCCATTCCACGAAGTAGCTGCTGTTTTTGTTCTGCACGTTCAGCATCTGCTCGTCGACCTCCTTCATGGACATGCGGCCACGGAAAATGGCGGCCACAGTTAGGTAGCGGCCATGACGTGGATCGCAGGCAGCCATCATGTTCTTTGCGTCAAACATCTGCTGAGTCAGCTCTGGCACCGTCAGTGACCGGTACTGCTGACTGCCTCTGCTGGTGAGGGGGGCAAAGCCCGGCATGAAGAAGTGCAGACGGGGGAATGGTACCATGTTGACAGCTAGCTTGCGCAGATCAGCGTTTAGCTGTCCGGGGAACCTGAGGCACGTCGTGACGCCGCTCATTGTTGCAGAGACCAGGTGGTTGAGATCACCGTAGGACGGCGTTGTGAGTTTAAGTGTGCGGAAGCAGATGTCGTAGAGGGCCTCATTGTCAATGCAGTAGGTCTCATCAGTGTTTTCCACGAGCTGATGGACGGAGAGCGTTGCATTGTAGGGCTCAACTACGGTGTCGGACACTTTAGGAGAAGGCACGACGCTAAAGGTGTTCATAATGCGATCAGGATACTCTTCACGAATCTTGCTGATCAGCAGGGTGCCCATGCCGGAGCCCGTACCACCGCCAAGGGAATGTGTGAGCTGGAAGCCCTGCAGGCAGTCGCAGCTCTCCGCCTCCTTCCTCACCACATCCAGGACAGAGTCCACCAGCTCTGCACCCTCCGTGTAGTGGCCTTTGGCCCAGTTGTTGCCAGCACCACTCTGACCTGAAAATTAACCAGGTTTAAATGAGACTTTTTGGCAGCGCGTTTCAGTTTTCTTGCACTTTTAATAACCCACCGAAAACAAAGTTGTCTGGTCTGAAGACTTGTCCAAAAGGTCCAGACCTCACGGAGTCCATGGTGCCTGGCTCCAGATCCACCAGCACAGCACGGGGAACATATTTGCCACCTACACAGAAAACAAGAGCCAAATATTTTAGATTATATTATAATGCAGTACAATAATTATTACTACCACCGCCTGAACACTTGAACAAACCTGAGGCTTCATTGTAGTAAACGTTGATCCTGTCCAGCTGCAGGTCACTGTCTCCATGGTAGGTACCGGTTGGGTCGATGCCATGCTCATCACTGATCACCTCCCAAAACTAAGAGGGGACAGAGTTCATGAAAACAACTGATGGACATGTTCCACGGTTCAAATGTGAAATGGCCGACGTTCCCGCCGCTTTGCAGCAGAAGCGCGCGCGGCCTCGCTCCCCATTGGCTGAAAGTTCTGAATTTCAAACTTCCTCTTACGTCATCACCCGTCCAACGTCTCCAGGCAGAACCGGGCGGCGCCACCAGGCCTCAGGACCAGCGCCGTGAATTAATTCAAGATAAAAACCCAGGAAACGTTCAAACATGGAGAGAAACGCTTTACTCGCGTTTAGTCGCCTTCTCAAAATAATCCGCTTTAATCCAACAAGTAACGTTCACGATTACTTTTTCCACGCCCAACGAAAAACCGAACAATGACGTCTTCGACATAATCTTGGATTTGGATTAATTACAACCGATACGAACAATTTGTATATTTCACGGATTACTTTAGATTGTTAAATAACTACATATTAATCAACCATTTAGTTAACTAAATTGTTTTGCAGTGTGGATAATGTGGTTTTTAGTAAACGATAAAATGCTCCTGATATGATATATTTGACTGTTAATCTGCTCCAGAAATGACTGACGGTCATTTTGGCGTTAAGCCCGACTCGATGCAGTTCCCTGGGTGTGGCTGGTGCGACACGACAGAGCACAAAGAACCGGCGTTCAAAGAGAAAAACGTCGATTTTTACTGTTAAAAACGGTACGACTGCGAATCCAAAACGTCTCTAATTTGACTCACCTTGGCACCAATCTGGTTTCCGCACTGACCGGCCTGGAGATGCACGATTTCTCTCATTTTGACTATAAAATCTGCAACACGTCCACTAAAACAGCGGTTTCTCTGGAAATGGCTGCTCCGCGAGCACAACGTTTCATTTATAGCGAGTTGACCCCGCCTCTTAGCCAACAACTCGAACGTCTATTGGCTGTGTATCCTTTACGAATTTAACGGACACATATTATAACCAATCGGATATTTGAATGGCTCAACACTTCTGCAAAAAAAAAAAAAAAACGTAGGCAGACGTCGGCCACCTCCTTGTGATGGCGGACCGGAAATGCGGCAGATCATTCACATGTTTTTTCTTAGCCGCTCTTTACGTATGTCATATCTGTGGAAGTGTTCCGTTTTCGTGAATAAAGGCAAATAATGAGTTTTTATTAAACAAGGCAAAGCGATGTCAGACGACGGGTCTTAACCTATGGTGGCTGACCGATAAAGCTCTAATGTTCAGTTGAGCAGAAACGTTACCTCAAGACTGCACAGAATGGCTTATATATAAGTAAAGCATACTCAGGGAAACATGTTTCCACACGTGCACATGACACTAAACACTTTGAATCCTAATGTAAGTATATATTAGCTCTGAAGCTAATGTTATTAGTATATTAGTGTGTTTTTTCATTCAACCTTTATTTCTACAGGTTAATCCCATTGAGCCTCAAGGACTCATTTACAAGAGAGACCTGATTTTAACAAAGAATGATGACAACAATGGACAGCCACAAAAAGGCATACAGATTTTTTTATACAAATAAGATAGAAAAAAGAGTAACAAAACCAGCTAGATTCTAAGGCGAATGTAGAAAACTAAAAACAGGAACATGTCTGCATTGGACCCTGCCAGGAGTCCAACAGATTCTTAAAGACACTTAGAGAGGTCAAAGGTCGAGAGCTTCAAATCTTTTTGTAAAATATTCCAGGAAACAGGAGTGGAGTAGGAGAAGGCCCTTTTGTCTAGTTCAGTCCTCATTCAGGGAACACTGCAGGTAATGATGTCCTGAGAGCGCACGCTGTAGCTGCACTCACGCAGAGACATGTAGGAGGAGATGTATGAAGGTAGCAGACCAAGAAGTGATTTAAAGATGAAAATGTACCAGTGAGAGAGTCTGCGTGAAGTTAATGGTGACCAGTTAACCAGTGAATACTGGGTGCAGTGGTGGGTACGATAATCACAGCCAGTTATGAATCTTAGTGCACCATGATAGACAGCATCCAACATCTGCAGCATCCAACATCTGCAGGGTTCTTGTAGGAGCGTTCATGTAAATAATGTCACTGTAATCAATTGAGGGAAGGAAAGTCACAGATACAAGGCGTTTCCTAACATTCAGGGTTAGACAGGATTTGTTTCTGAAAAAGAAACCCAGTTTAATTTTCAGTTTCTTTACCAAGTTTTCCACATGGAGCTTAAAAGAGAGATGTGAGTCGACCAAGATACCCAAATATTTATAGGAATCAACAAACTCAATGGGGACACCATTTGAGGATAAAATCGGAGGAAGAACTGCTGGGACCAACTTCCTGTTTGAAAAAAGCATCCCTTTGGTTTTGTCGGCATTTAGGACAAGTTTGAGGCGGAACAAATCAGTCTGGATGATGTTGAATGCAGATTTCAAAAGCTGGAAAGCCTTAGCAACTGTTTTAGCTCAACAATAAACAACTGTGTCATCAGCATAGAAATGTATGGATGCATTAGGGATGTTTTTACCTACATTACCTATGTAGATTGTAAAGAGGGTGGGTCCTAAGACCAGTGGTGGGATGTAACTAAGTACAAATACTTCGTTACTGTACTTAAGTACATTTTTCATGTATCTGTACTTTACTTACGTAGAGTTAAATGTGGGTACTTTATACTTTTACTCCACTACATTTTACATCAAGTATCTGTACTTTCTACTGCACTACATTTCTATAATGTGTTGCATTACAAGTTACATTCATGTTGCGGCTTTTTGATTTGTTTGTTACTTTGAAAGTAACCGATGACGAGAGGGGAGCTGGTCCATTGAATCACTGCAAAGTGGGCAGGTAACGTTAGGCCCGCCTTCAAGAAGAGCTGGGCCAGTGACATATATTCTAGTATATATATATATATATATGTCACTGAGCTGGGTGCACCTACAGCACCACTAACACACCCAAAATGTATTCCACCACAAGAGAGTCACCCAGAAGATACGCTCCACCCATGGCCTTATTGAAAGATTATTGAAAGATTATTGAAAGACTGTTCAGTACAACAGGACAGATTCTCTCCCAAAAGAGCCACATTGGACTCAAAAATATTTGAAAACAACTTCTTCTGAACTTGAACAAGAAATTCTTGCTGCAATATTAAAATGTGTCAGTTCATGGATGTTAGGAGACAAGAGATGTCCCCAAATGTCTCGACACTCTGGTCCAAGTTTTAAAAATGGTGTCAGGAAGTTAAAATATTGTTCAATATTGACCCATTACAAGGTTGAATACACAGTATTTTAACTAGTGTTGAAATGATCAGAGCCTGTTCCTTTGTCACTTGTGTCTAATGCTCCTTTTGTTCAGGCAGACAACTTTTACTTAAATGTGTTTACTGCAGTGAAAATGACAAATTGGTTTTACTTTGTGTTAAATAAAAACTTTCAAAGGTATAATCATTCCTCTTTCTTGTTTTGATTAATGACATTTAACGCTGCAGGTCATCCATGAAGTTCTGACGCACAGAATCACAAGTCCAAGTGTGAACTGTGTCACAGAGTAAACACAATAAAAACATGTATTATCTGCTGCATTGTTCATTAAAATGGAACAACACTATTAATGTATTACAGAAAATATACATACAGTAGGTACACTTAATGATATGCAGACCATTGCATTATGTAATACATTCAGAAAGTACTTTTACTTTTAATACTTTAAGTATTTTTAAAGCAAGTACTTATTTACTTTTACTTAAGTAAAAATGTTAATATGGTACTTTCTACTTTTACTAGAGTACATTTTTGTCTGTTTATTTGTACTTTTACTTAAGTACAGTGTTTGAGTACTTTCTCCACCACTGCCTAAGACTGAGCCTTGTGGTACACCATTGTTGACTGTTAAATAACTGGAGGAAGTACCATTATGTTGAACAAATTGCCTCCGATCTGAGAGATAGTTATGCCCCTTTTCCACTGTCACGGCACGGGTCGAATATTTCCGGCTTGCCCCATGTTTGAGGTCTTTTCCATTGGTCCTTTGTACCTGCTCACCTCAAATATTCTGCCCCTGCTACATCAGTGGAGTCTACACCGGACACCCAGCTGCACCTCACAGAGCAGCACAATGCTGCAGCCTTCTGTGCTTGGTAAGAACAGATGCAACATGTTCCACATCACTTTATTCGTGCCAATAAGGACTTGCTTTTACTTTATTTTTTAAGTAAAAAAAAAAAAAACGTTGAATAAATACTGAATACGCACCACATGTTGAACATGTGGTGGGATGAAATTATGTACACAGGGTCCCAGTTAAAGACAACAATAAAATTAGAGGGCTGTGATCAGTCTTACATCGGGGAAACTAAACAGCCACTGGCCAAAAGGATGGACCAGCACAGAATATCAACACCATCAGGCCAGGACTCTGCGGTCTACACTCTACATATCGTTTGTAACGATATTATATCAAACGATTCTGGTCAATTTGTGGTACTTGTGCTCCTGGACCTTTCTGCTGCTTTTGATACTGTTGACCACATTATCCTTATATCACGGCTGGAACAGTGGGTTGGGATCACAGGTGCTGCATTAAAATGGTTCTGCTCATACCTGAGTGGCAGGAGCTTCTGTGTCAAGGTTGATAATAATGTATCCACCTTATTATCTTTTTCTTGCGGGGTCCCACAGGGTTCAATTTTTGGAACCCTTCTGTTCTCACTTTATTTGCTCCCACTGGGGTCCATCCTGAGGAAACATGGTCTTTCATTCCATTGCTATGCTGATGACCACCAGATCTACCTGCCTGTGAAACCAGCAAGTGTTTGCTCCATTCACCCTCTGTTAAAATGTCTGGACAACATTAAGGCCAGGATGGCTTCAAATTTCTTAAGTTTTAACAATGACAAGACTGAAGTCATTGTCTTTAGCCCTAGCTCAACTGCCACCACTGATCCTGTCAACCTGGACTCTCTTCAGCCATATCTGAAGCAGTCTGGTAAAAATCTCAGCATGGTTTTAGACTCTGACTTCAAGTTTGACAAACAAATTAACTCTGTTTTGCAGAAAATCTTCTTCCAACTCAGACAGGTAGCTAAGCTCAAGCCAGTGTTGTCCAGACCCGACCTTGAGAAACTAGTCCACGCCTTTGTCACGACCCGATTGGACTATTGCAACGCACTGTATGCTGGGATCAGCCAGGCCTCATCTCACGTCTTCAGCTCGTCCAGAATGCTGCTGCTCGACTTTTAACCGAAACTCCTAGTTCTGAACATATTACTCCAGTTCTGTCCTCCCTTCACTGGCTCCCTGTTCGTACGAGGATAGTCTTTAAAATTCTTCTGTTGACCTTCAAATGCTTAAATGGCCTTGCACCTCTTCACCTCTCTGAGATACTGGAACCTTACGTTCCCTCTCGGGCCTTGAGATCATCCGATCAGCTGCTTTTGGCTGTTCCAAAAACAAGACTGAAGCTCAGAGGAGATAGGGCTTTTTCAGTCATGGGCCCCAAACTCTGGGACAACCTGCCCCCCAACATCAGGCAGGCCACCTCCCTTCCTCACTTCAAATCCCTGCTAAAAACACATCTGTTCTCTCAGGCATTTCATACAGTGTAAATTGATCTAGTGTTTATTTTAATCTGTGACCCTATGTTTTAAATACTTTTTATTAATTCTGCAGATATTATTATTAGTGTATTATATATATATATACATATTTCTCTTTAATTTTACTCTCATTGATTGATTGTTGTTGTTAAGCACTTTGATAACAGGTTCTGTTTTAAATGTGCTCTATAAATAAAGTTTACTTGACTTGACACTCATCTCCAGGTCAGCGGTCACTCTTTCAGAGATGAAGATGTTCACATCCTGGATAGAGAGGAACGATGGTTTGAGAGAGGA